AAAGGTACAGGTCAGGTTCTCTATGAATCAGCTTCACACTGGCTTAAAGGCTTTGAATCCCTCTAGGCCTAACATTTTTCAAAGACATTTCCCTGATCTCAAGGGATAAAAAGCAAAGGAGTATAGTGACTATCTTAGTACCCCTGTTGCTCTCGATATATGGCTGGAAACCTTCTCAAAGCAAATGTCCAATAGCAATACCTAATAGTAAGACAGCACATCATTCTCATGCTGTGTGCACCCTGGTTCAACAAATACCTCCTGAGCACTAATTATGGGCCAGGAGATACATTAAATGCTGACAACATAAATGATGAAAACAACACGGTCTCTACAGAGGGTTTTAATTTTATCAGTCTTGTTTGATTTCCTAAGCTGGATGGTAGTTATTTAATCTTTATATTTTGTATCTCTGGATTATTTAATAAAAAATTTTAACCAACAGCAGACAAGATGGACTCTGTATTTTATAAATTTATGATGCTGTTTTCATATAATGGTGGTGTGTACAACCCCTGAGTGCTAGAAACATGAAGGGAGGTTTCCCAGTCATTGGGGTGACAGTGGATCAGTGACAGTTTCCTGCAGAGAAAACACCCAAGATCTATCTTGTAATATGAGAAGAAGTTGATCCAGACAAAGAAGGAGAAGGCTCTGTGAGTAAGGAAGGATGTCAGGGAACAGCCCAGTATAACACCTCAAGAAGTGAGAAGCTATTACATCAAAATGGGAGAGGTGAGGCTAATGAGAGCAGAAGGAAGAGGTCAGAGGCAGCTTTTTTTCTGTACAAAAGGATTTTATCCTGCATTTAGAGTTACCAATTAACAAATTATAGTTTAGATAGACACTTGTGGAAGTAGTGAGGAGAATGGATTGGAGGGAAGATTCCTGGGAGGCAGGGAGATGAGTTAAGAAGTATCAGCATTTGTTGAAGCAAAAGACAAAAAGATCAGTGGTAGCCATGATAAAAAAGATATGGACACAGAAATGGCAAAAGAGTAAAACTGGTGGCAATTGATTTTCTCTTGATGTAGGTAGTGACAGAGAGGTTAGCAGTGTAGTAGAATGCACAGACATAGTCTCAAATAACTTGGATGAGAATTTAGTATCACATGAAGAAAAGAAAAGGCTGGTCATTCAAGTATCTTTTTGCATTACCCTTTCAGCATTTCTGTTTGGCAGCTGTAAACCCAAGAAGGTGCTAGTATAACTTTTCACTGTCTGTGGTGTGAGGGTGACTCTAGTGAACCAATCCAGTGAGACTACAGTGCATGCATCAGAGGTCTGCTGCATGCTTGACAGCTTCTCTTTTGCCCCATGCTTTGTATTTTTTCCTTTTAGGGGTCAGAATTTAGCTTATGTAAAGCATAGATGACCCATCAGGAAATCCAGTTTCCAGGTACACATGGGAGAAGAACAATCCAATCCACCCACATCTGTTACAAGTATATCCAGACTCCACATTTTCACATGATGTGTGCAGACTACTAATCTGTCAATCTTGGATCTAATCTTAAGCACTTTTGAGATGAGGTGATCTTTTCATGTTCTATATACCAAAAAGAGATTTGGCCCAAATATTAAAAACAGTTTAGTTCAGAGATAAAGAGATACATGACTTTACAAGAGAGGAGACACAACTGGATATGAACTAATCCAATATACCACAAAGAGGCTGATGATACTTATTTTTGAGCTGAGTATGTACCAACTGGAACATGGGAGCTTAGTAAATAAATAGTTTTGAATATATGAATAGATAGAAAGTGGTCTAACTGGGCCAGGGAAGAGAAACCTTAATTTTGGAGTGAATAATTATGCCTTTTGAAAAGCAAAAGGAAAGTCCCAACATAAAATCCCAAACTAAAATGAAATATGAAATCTGGCAGAGTTAGCAGAGGAAAAGATACCACACCTAGAGCAGACTAAGTCTTCTTAGCTGGGGCTGTAGTACAGTGGGCTTCCAGAAATGCTAGAAAGCTCGAGGTGCAGGTGCTGCCCAGAAAGCCAGGGAATAATTCTATTTCCCCCTCTAGATTAGGAAGGAGCCTTGCTGGTGCTGAGTTTGGTTCAAGAACCAAGAGAGAACAAATTTTGTAAGAACTTTTAAAATGCCTGGGTTTAATGGCCAGAGTACACTCTGCAGGAATTATTATACAGGACAATAAGGACAGAGCAAGAATTAAATGTTTCAGATTCAGCCAGGGTGAACATTTCATTCCTAGTCTCAGCAGCAGCTGCATGGCCCCCATTAAGGACTCTGGTAAGCCAAGGGAGGTGATCAATGATATGCTTCATTTGCTCTGATCTGGGTGGTCACCCTACTTCGTACGTAACTATGTATCCTTTCCTAATTAAACTAGGAGTTTAATGACTTTGTAGGATATCTTCCTGTTTATCCATAACTCACCTGAGATGCAACCAACACAATGATGAGTTCTGAAATGTTTGGCTAGTGTCAGAAGTGGGATTAATCAGATGAATTACCATCAATATTTGATTTTGGAAATGAAACAGTGATCTAAAGAAGTGTGGGAGGAAGCCAGTGAGCCTATGTTGTGAGATCATTGGGACACTGAGGAAAATGTTCTTGGAGGAGAGTTGAATCAGTGGAGTTCACTCCCTGTAGCTTTATCTTCAGCATAACAGGACTTGTAGATGACTAGAGAGGGATGAGTTAATGGCAAGGAAGCCCAATGTATAGTTTCCTAGTCCCTGTTGTGTTATACAAGAATAAGGTGATTGCATAAGACCATGACACCAACAAAGTAATGGGATGGGGAGGTTCTGTCGCTCTGCCTGGACTGGCAGTCAGTTAATGTCCAGACAGAAAATATTTATCTGACAGGGAAAATTAGAACAAAGATGTGCTCTACTCCCCTTGTCAAAGTAGTACAGAAGAAAGGGAGAGTGATTAGAAAAGTGTTACTTTAAATTTTACCTCCATTTCATTTTGTTTTTCTATGTAGAAGCCTTAAAAGGGAAATGTGAGCTTGAAACTCCATGACTTTGAAGCAGTCTGAACTCATTGTTTTCACTGGGCAGGGTTTCAGAAATTCATTTGAACTTGAAAAAAAGGTTTTTTCCTAAATACAAAATTAAAAATATTTAAGTGAGGAATTAAATTTCATTTGGTAAAAGTGTAACATCTTCTGTGTCTCAGACGTTATTTTAGGACAAGGTGACCTGGCTGGATTGAAGCCAATTGAGATGTGGAGTGAGGCTGGCAACATGCCTGGTGTTTCCAAAGCTGTAAGTCTTTGGAAGCACAATTCTACCCTTTTGGATTATTTTAGAAATTAGACTTTAGGACACAGCTTGAGGATAGGAGGATAATTGGACCCCCCTCTCATTATTTAACAAAATAATAAAAGGTGAGGCACTGTTGTAGGTGATATACTGGTGTAGAGGTAGTGGGATGTTAAAAAGATAGTATTTAGGAAAGGAAAAATGGGTTGGATTGGAAGCGAAAGGGTGTAAGAGTTAGTGGGCAAACTCCTGGATATAAACTGACTTAATCAGGGCAAGTTGGGAAAGGTACCAGAGTGTGGGATCGGTGTGACATTCACAGCCAGCACAGCACAGAGCTGTGGCCTGCATCAGAACAAGCCACAGAGTGCTCACAGAGCCTGCTGCGGAGCAATGTGGGCCAGGAACCCCTGGCTCTTCATGGACACAATAGTGAAGTGGCCAGGGGTACAAGGGCACAAACTCCGAAGCAGACAACAGTTCTGAAGCAGTCAGGTTCCTAGGGACTGCATGGCAGGAGCTGTCCTGAACACATGACAGGAGACAGACTTGGGAAAGTATATTGTGATCATGGTCCTTGGGCTTTATAAACTAAAGAGCATTCTGTTAAAGAGATGTGGTGAGCTGTGGAGAAATGAGCTTTCTGAAATGCTAAGAAGCTGGAGGCAGAAATTTTATTTAGGAACATCTGTGTACTGACCATGTTCTTAATCCAGATGAAGAGATGGTTTTGCAGATGTTGAATCTGGTTTAAGAGCCAGAAAAGTTCTATTCTTCTTTTAATTAATATAAATATAAAATTATACACACACCTCACATTTCTGAAAATGCATAATTTATGTACTGTATTGTCTTTTTGGTATATATGTATATTTTTTAAGAATTCATTTATTTATTTTTAGACTGAGGGGAAGAGAGGGAGAAAGAGAGGGAAAGAAACATTAATGTGTGGTTGCCTCTTGCACTCCCTATAATGGGGACCTGGTCCACAACCCAGGCATGTGCCCTGATTGGGAATCAAACCAGTGACCCTTTGGTTCACAGGCTGGTGCTCAATCCACTGAGCCATAACAGCCATGTTTGGGTATATATATTTTTATATATTCGATGAATTTGCATGCATATATTTTTCTAGAATGATTGTCATAAGTCCTGAATTCCTAAATAAATAAGGGTGAATAAGGACAATAAAGAGTCAAAATCTGAATTTTGGTTGAAGTCCTAGCTTTCATTGATTGTGTCATAGAACAGTTGCCATCCCCTGTCAAGTTCTTTGAAAACCAAGGAAAGCCATGAAGAGATACTGTTGTTGCTTCCACTTTGCTTCCAAAAGGCCCAAATCCTTGATTGATTAAACTGACAACCAAATCATACTCTATTGTCTAAGTGTTTTGTGTGCATGTTCTCTGTGTGAATATCTTCCTGCTAATGTGTAACCTACTTGAATTTTAGTTTCTGTCTGTCTTGGATTTGGGGAGGAAACAGGAGGCCTTTAACCTGCTCATCTCCTGATGATCAGATGCAGTCCCACTAAGATATCCCCAAAATTATTGGTTGTTTTGCAGTGAAAGGTAAATGAAAGAACCAGAACAGCAGGTCCAGCACCAACTCTAGACCAACCTTGATGAAGCCATTCTCCACTGTATCAGTTTTTCCCCTCATATCTGTAATCCAGCTCTTCTGACCTTGGACCAAATGACTCCAACTCCAGGGGGAATGTATTAGACATGTAAGTGCAAAGAGTCTCTTACCAGAAGCCAAGAGATCATTGATGAGCACAAGGAACTTCTCATTAGCCACTTGGGCATCAGTCATGAGAAACACTGTGCTGAGATTCTTTACCCCAGCTTTCAGGCACAGGCTGGCCAGGTCCATCTGCAAAAACAATCAGTATCAGAGACCTCTGAGAAGAAGGATTTCTTACAGGATATCCCCATTCACTCTTTAGGAATGGGGTCACTTTCTTGCCTTCTTTCATGGGAAATAAAGCAAAATGACAATGAGGGATGAGCTTTATGTTGCACTGACAACCTGAAAAATATGCTCATTCCCAGGCTTTGATCCCAATCGGGAAGGGCAAGTAAATTAAACAGTGATGATCTTTAGTTCTGTGGCTTTTGTATTATCTTCTAGAGCTCCTGCTTTGTGCAGAGGTAAGAGCTTTCTAAAGGACAGAGAAGACTCATCATGCGAGTGAGTGACCTGTCCCAGAAGCAAGGGATTGCTCTTGGTCTTAAGAGAAGAGTCATGTACCTGGGGAACTTGCCTGGGCATCAATATATTATATTCTAGAAGCATTTTGTTTCTTATGACTAGCTTCAGCAAAGGACTTGTGCTAGAAAAAAATGTACTGGGAGACACACACACTCACCTGGTAGGAAATTACATCCATTCAAAACTGCAGGTAAATAAGAGTGTGGGGCTAGGATACTGAGCCCTAAAGTTTTCCAGCTTAGTCAGTTTCAGTTCCTTTGCTGATCTGACAAAGCTCAGCCATTACTCCCTAACCTTGGTCTTCTGCCTCTTGCACCATTCCAAGCTCCTTTTCTAACAGCCTCATACATTTCCTTAGAGAAGTCCTTCCTTCATGTCCAAATAAATTCCCCTTTAAAGTTAATAAGCTTCCTTGTAGATAAATGGTTCTCAACCTTATGTATTTGCAGAATTACCAAAGATAATGAATGTTTCTCAACTCTCATTGGAATCCTCTGGGTGATGCTTTGAAAATTCCTGGTGCCCAGGCAACTCCCCAGACTAATTAAGTCAGGATTTCTGGAGGGTGGGATGCTGGCACCAGCATTATTTGAAGGGTATTTCTGTATATAGCCAAGGTTGAGAACCACAGTCTTGGGTTATCCTATAAATGCATAATTCTCATGGGCACTATGTTGTCTCCTCTCTTTTTGGAAGTAGTAAAGATTGACCTGATGTGACCCTGGTGCATGAAAGACCTTAGATTCAGCCAGTCATTGGAAGGCTGAGCTGTATTTTACAGGTGCAGTGAGCATCACTAGCTGGGAGACTGTGAAGGTGGGTAGGTCTGGCTCAGGGCTGGCTAGAATTCTCCCAGGGTCAGCAACAGCAGCATCCTGCTGGGAACCCCATCATGACTCCCTATCGTGCCTCTATTGTGACCAGGGATAAAAGTGTGTGTGGGGGGGGGGAGCTGGATGAAGTGACCTTTGAAATCTTTATATAGAGCTTTTCTTCACTTTCCAGAGTGTACCTTGTGGCTCCTAAGTGCCTGATGTCTGGAAATGTCACTGAAGGTCCCAGCGGCTGAGGGTTACTGAACACATCTTTCAAAATATAAATTTCTTATAAAACTTGGGCAGAGTGTCAGAGTTCCTTCTAAGTCTATTAGAGCTGCTGGAGAGCTGAGTGCTGAATTTGATACATTAGGTTGGCCAAAAAGTTTGTTTGTTTTTTCCCATAAGATGGCTCTAGTGGCACTTAGTTGTCTTTAACTTCATTCAAAATAATTTTGTTAGATTGTATTGTGATAGCTGTCATATCAGTGTGTATTGAGAAACTTATCAAAATTCATGAATTTTTTTGTGTAGCCATTTTAATATTGAAGATGGAAGAAAATATGTAACATTTTCAGCATGTTATGCTTTATTATTTCAAGAAAGGTAAAATCACAACTGAAACATTAAAAAAGTTTTGTGCAGTATATGGAGAAGGTGTTGTGACTGACTGAATGTGTCAAAAGTGCTTTGCAAAGTTTCGTGCTGCAGGTTTCTCACTGGACGATGCTCTGTGGGTGAATAGACCAGCTGAAGCCCTTGATAGCAATCAAATTGAGTCATTAATTCAGAACAATCAATGTTATACTAAGTGGGAGATAGCTGACATACTCAAAATACTCAAATCAATAAAGTTCTTGGTGAAAATGAAAAAAAAATTTCAAGAAAATGAGAAAAAAAGTTTTTCATTTTAAGGAAAAAAAGAAGCAGATTTTTTGGCCAACCCAACAGATGTGCTCCGGATTTGGGCGCAAACTGAAGCTGCATAGGTCGGACCAAGCCCCTGAGGCCTCACACCCCAGCCCTGGGGAGGCTAGTGTCCTTGGGCTGAGAATGATGAGGAAAGAGTGCCTCAGTCATCAATCAGCCCAGAATCTAAGAAGAAAATGGGCAGGCAATTAAGCGAAGGTTCTGGGCAAGGGAAGTGAAGGGCTGATGAGAGGGAGCTGTGGGTAGCAGCGGAAGGCCTAGTGTCCTCCTGGCAGCCGCCTGGCCTCCTCACCTTGAAGTCTGCGATCTGGTAGCCTTTCCGCAGCGTGATCTGGAACACGTCCATGGAGCTGATGAAGGCCGCCAGCCTGGTCAGACTCTGCTTGCCGCTGCCTCCCACGCCCACCAGCAGCGCATTTCCCCGAGGGGCCTCCAGGATGCGATTGATGCGGCAGCTAAAGGGAAGGAGGCAGGAGCACGTGGCTCCAATTACTCTCCCCTGTGAGGAGCATGTGTGAAGAGAGAACCGGGACCCTCCTTGGTGGCTGAGCATAGGCCCAGCTGTGGGAAACTTGAGTTCCGTTGTCCCCAGATCTGGCCTTGCCTTCTTGACCAAGTGGAATGAAGTCACCACTGGTGAACTAGAGCAGTGGAGGAACAGCTCAGGGCTGCCAGGCGGGAGTGGAGTGCAGTGGGCAGGGATGTGATGGGCAGGAATGTGACGGTCAGGGGAGCGGATCAGTCCTCCCCCTCCGCCCCTCTCCGGCCACACCTGACTGCCATACCTCCCCACCTCATTTTGCTTCATCTATCTGTGCATTTTTAGGCAAGAGGAGGAGGCAGGAAAAAGAGAAAGGTAGAAAGCGTACAGTTAGAAAAAAATCAGGAGAAGGCTGAAGGACAAGCATAGAACAATTTGTTTCTCTTAGGAGAAAAGCAGCAAAATTAAAGCCAGCGAGTAACAGAGAGCCCTGCAGTGGCTCTTAGCTCTCTCTCTTCTATCCTTCCTGGATGTCGATGCCCTTGTAATGAGTGTTTGTGGATGCTCCTACAAGGCACCACTTCCTTGGCTTCTGGACCCTTTCCTTTGCAGCCATAGTTACTACTGTCAGTGAGCATATCCTCACCCCAGCAGTGGGGTGATGTTCCCAGGCCCTGGGCTTAGACCACCCCTCACCCCTGAGGAGCCCACTCCTCCTGCCATTCCTCAAGTGCTACTGAGCTGTTCACAGCCTGCCCTTCAGGACACACCAGCAGCCTTTAAAAAAAAAATTCCCTTCAGTACTATGTACATACCTATGTGAGGTACCTACATTCTTATAAGAATAACTCCTGTGCCCTTTTCTTTTATCATCTTAAAAACAATAACTATTTATTATACAAATGCATAAAACAGAAAAACTACAATTCTATCTTGCATATACACTACTAATATTAATTATATGTTCTTCTGAAGTTTTCCCTAGTATCTATATGTTTGTAAGTATATATTTATGTACATATACATTTATTACATCTGAAACCTCAATATATTTTATTCCATATATTTTTTATTTTATATTAAATGTTGCTCAAGTACAGTTTTCTGCCTTTTACTCCCATCCCAGCCCACCCCAACCCTTCCCACCTCCCTCCCATTTCCACCCCCCTCCTTGTTTTTGTCCATGTGTCCTTTATACTTATTCCTGCAAACCCTTCCCCTTTTCCCCTGAAATTCCCTCCCCTCTCCCCTCTGGTCACTGTCAGCCTGTTCTCTAGTCCAGTGTCTTTATTCCATATATTTTCAAAGTTGTTTTTACATTTATACTGAACATAGAGTTTTGAGATCATTTTTTCATTTAGCAATATACTGTGATTATTTCCTTGTGCCACTGAGTAATCTGCTAAACCATGCTTTAATTGTGGAACAAGATTCCATTGTATAGACTAACTTCCTTGTCTGCAATAGCCTACTGTTGGATGTTTGAGTTGTTTCCAATATTTTCCAGTTTTAAAGAATGCCATGTGAATACTTTTCATTTATATGTTTATGTCCATAGGATAAGTTCCTAGAAGTAAAGCTGCCAAGTCAAACAGTAAAACAATTTTATGACTTTTTGAAAAACTGACCTCCAGAATGGTGGCACCAATTTATACTCTTCTTAAGTAGGATTGATCAAAAGGTGAATCCATTATATCGGAGGCTGAGAATATGTAAGATTAAGCTAGTTGAATAAAAATGTGTTAAGTCAGTGAGTTTGGGGATACATATCACAGTAACAAAGCCCCCATGGAGAAGTGGGTAAGATAAGGAGGAAGAGACAACAGTGTTGGTGGCCTTGGGATCAGAAGAATGTGCAAAACAAGAACTCAGGTCAAGTCCAACCACAGAGAGCAGCGGGTAAATCTGAGATTGCATTGCACAGGCTGTAGTCCTGTGTCCCTGTCTTGTGTTAATGATATTATGATGAAAAATTCCATATTCAAATTAAGTAATAGTAATTAGAGGTAGAGCAGCTTAGGGTCTAGCTAACCCCAATTTGGAGGAGGGCTTGAGGGAAGTTTTGGGGGGTGGAGTTTGACACATCAACAAAATGCATGTGTGAGGTTAAAGGGCTCATGCTAAGCTTCTGTGGTTTGAATTTCATTACTGCAAATTTCTTGCATATACTGATGACTTAGTCATAGAATTAGCATCAATAAACTTAATGTCTGTGGATCCTTATTGCCTCATCTCTCCTATGGGACACATTTATATTTTGAAAGAAGATGCTAAGCAGAAGTGTTAGTCAACAACTCCCACCTACTGCAGATTGGAGAGACTTGCCTCCACCCTTGTTGACATTGGGTCTTATTTTTTTTAAAGAGAAGCAATGCTTTGTTTAAAGATTTTAAATTTATTTTTATTTTTACCAAGAAGGGAAAGGAGGGAGAAAGAGAGGAAGAGAAACATCAGTGTGTGGTTGCCTCTTGTGCACCCTCTACTGGGGACCTGGCCTGCAACCCAAGCATGCACCATGACTGGGTATCAAACCAGTGACACTTTGGTTTGCAGGCTGGTGCTCAGTCCACTGAGCCATACAAGCCAGGGCTGGCTGGGACTTATTTTTTAATCTTTGCCTATTTAATGGTTGAAACAATTATGGTTTTAATTTTTTGATTTCTAGAGAATTGAACACTTTTCTTCTTATCATGTCTTCTTTTATAAATTTTCTTTTCTTGTCCATTGCCTACTTCTCAACTGAACTATTCTTCTAAATTTGTAAGATCCTTTTATGTATGTTTCAAAATATCCCCCCACTTGGGCACTTATATATTTTAGTTTTAATGTTTCAGAATTACAGAAACTTTAAGGTTTTTGGACATACTTAAACTGTACATCACTAAATTTATGTAGTTAAATTTATTCCTCCAAATAATTAGGAGTTATTAATTGATCTACATTTAGTCCTTTTATGATTTTACTTTCTTTATAATTTTATTATAATACTTGTACCCTGTTTTGTATCAGATTTACTGTTCTTGCTCCCTTATTAAGCCATACTTTCTAGACATTGGAAGAGTGTCTATGCCATCATGTATTCTGTATAGTCTTAGCACACTAAAAATGTTCCATACAGTTCTATTAAAGAGGATGATACATATCTTATACTCAGCATTGCATCTGGGGTGATGTACACAATCATCCATGATGCCAGGGGCAAGGAATCATCTGCTTTCTGTCTGTATTAGAGGGTGTCTGACTACAATGAAAAAAGGAGAAACCATGGTGCTAAGATATCTAGGTCCTCTTTTCTAATTAAAAAGGGAGGGGGCAGAAATGTACTACTAAAGGAGGGAGGCCAGCATGGAGGATGAAGAGGAGAAGTCCAACTGGGTGCTCTGGGCTGCCTAACACCAGCTCTGTTCTAGAAGATCTCAACTCAGCTTAGCATGGTCCATGTGATTCAATATCTTAATGGAAAATACATCATTAGTGGTGACATTTCCAAAGAAGAATGGTTCAGTCTGCAACTGTCAGCATTGGACTCCAGCTGGGGATTCATTAACAACCTCTGACTAGGGCAAAGTACTCTGCATTTAAATTACAAAATTTAAAAAGAAGATCAATATTCTAGAGAGCTGCTGGGCCAGAAAAGCAAGGCAGTCTAAGTTAATTCATTACTGAATTTCTGGGTGATCACAAACAAAAGCTGAAGTTGCACCACAGCACAGCTGGAGGAAGCTGGAGCATTGAAGAGTGAATGTGCATGCGCGCAAGCACTGGGAGGACACACAAAGGAAGGGAAGCAAGAGAAGTACATCGGAACTTTTTTCTAAGAGAAAAGAAGAGGAGGCAGAAAAGAATATGTGGGAATGAAGATAAAAAAAAAGATAGATTAAAAATATGCCAAAAGCAGGGGGAAGATCCAGCGTGAGGCTTTGACAAAGAGCAGAACAAGAATGTGTGGAGGTCATGAAGGAAGGCCATAGGAAAGCAGAACGGTACCTGAATGCAAGAAAACAACAGCACAAAGAGAAAAGACAGGGAGGTTAGGGGGTTGGGGGATGGAGCAGAAAGGAAAAAGGACTGATGGACATGGACGACAGTGCAGTGATTGTGGGGGCAGAGGTGTGAGGGGGATAACTGGTAATGGAAACAATACAATAAAAGTTTAAAAAAATATATATATATAAGAAAAGACAAATATTTGTGGACTGCTTATTAACTGCAAAGCATTTCACACAGAGCAACGACCCTACAATATAGGTATTCTTATTAGCCTTATTTTGCAGAGGAGGAAATTGGGACTTGGGCTTGAGGAAGTTCAGTGTCCTTCATGAAGGGGCACAGCCCAATAGTGACAGAACCAGGACAGAAATCTGGGTCTGGCTCTATGTACAGTACATGTGCTCATAATAATCCACAGTACCTGCAACTAACTACTCCACAGTGCTCCATTAATAAGTTCAGGGCAAAAGGAGCAAAGCTTAGGAAAGGTGCAGGGGAATCAAACAAAAGAAAATGTTAAGAACCCAGGTGGTGAGAATAGCCAGATAATATTATTCTGATAATATGCTTGTCAATATGAGCATGGGCCTTACTGCACCTATAAACATAGGCCCTCGCCTTGGCTGGCCCCACGGCCCTGGCTGGCCCTGTGATTTCCTGGGAAATGCATACTGGGGCATCCTTTCTGCCCTGCCTAGTCCCACCTGGGGTATCAGAGGGTGGAATGTCCTTGCAGTGAGTCCAGACCCCTCCACATTGGGCACTGGGTGCAGTGATGAGAGGTCATGGAATCTCCCAAAATTATTAGGTTGTCTGTGTCTCTCACTGTATGTTTTAGTGTTTTGTTTTCTGCTCTTTCTAGCTGGTAGAAGCTGCAAAGATTTGGGTTGAGGAGGCTCAGAGAGGGGAGGGAGGGGCAGTGCAAGAATGAAGTCATGGGACACTGATACTTTTAAGTGTTCCATCCAAATACACTTTATTCTTCAGAATTGCCCCCTTCAGACAGTGATTTCTGCTGCTTTTCCATTGCTAAAACAGTATCAGCCTGTTGATCACCCATGTTGGAAATCACATTAACTGTGACACAGGCTCAGGTAGCTCTTCAATATTAGTGAACAGACAATTTAAAACCATTATTCATTGACCACTGACTATGCGCCAGACACTGTCCAAGGTCCCAGGGATTTGGTGGTCAGTGAGACAAGGTCTGTGCTCAAGGAGCTTACACTGGACCAGGGGAAAGAGAAAAAGCACATGAGGAAGCGCCATAGCATGATGGCTGAGAGCAAACACTCCAGAGCCCAGTATTGTTAGTGTTAGCTCTGGCTGCCTATTTCTGGGGTGTGTGACGTTCGGCTTTGCTTTCTTCAGGGTTTTGGTGAAAACGAAATGAACTGATGTACACAAAGCACAGGCACCAGGCCTATAGTGACTTCTCTAGTGAGTGGAGCTCTTACGTGCCACCCCACATGCTGCCTTCTCAGTGAGGCCTTTCTGACCACCTTGTCTCAAGTCACAGCACCCCTCAGCACTCTATCCTCATCATTTATTCTCATGTGATGTGCTAAGAATTTGTGTTAAGTACCTGCTATGTTCTGGACACTGTCCTAGGTATTGGGGATCTAGCAGTGAATAAAACAAAGATCCCTGAATTCATACTAGGACATCCATCAGATGAATGGATGGATGTAAACAAATAGAGTAGTTAATCATGGCAAATGCGGCAGAGCAGTCATGTAATACAAGGGCAGGACCCACCAGTGACAACTGAATTTAGCGAGAGGTAGGTCTTTGGTGACATCAATAAGAGCCTCCTTGTTTGAGGGGTAATAAGTAGACTGAAAAGAGGATGATAAATGGGAAGGTGTGACAAGTAAACCCTTTTGATGAGTTTGGTTATAAATAGGAGAGAAATGGGTAAGTGGATGAAAAGGGATGGTAGAATTAAGAATAGCCTATTCTCTTTAGACAAATGATAATATGGCATGTTTACATTAATGCATATGATCAGGGAATTAATGAATTAATGATGACAAGGTAAGAAGGAAGACAGAGAAAGAGAAAGAGAGAGCGAGAGGATGGGAAAGAATTGGAGAGGAGAGGAAATTGCAGGGAGGAGCAGAGTCACCGAGAAGGTGAGAGGAGATGGGATCTAGTGCACAGCTGGAAGAACTGACCTTAGGTATGAACAATCACTGAACTGTTAGGAAAGTCAGTATTTGTGTGTAAGATGCAGGTGGGATACAGATAGGGCTGTTATATTTGATGGCCAGGAGATGAGAAAATTCTCTTCTGGTTGCTTTCCTTATCTCAGTGAAGTAAGAGTGGTGCTCATTAACTGTGAATGAAGAGAGGGGAGGGGTGTTAAAAGCTCAAAAAGAAAAACTGTGATGCAGGCACCAGAGGGTAGGGAAGTCAGCAAGGGTGGCAGAGGAGGATTTCTACCAAAGTTGAGGGCCCCTTTGATATTTGTGTCTGAAAATCTGAAGCAAACCAAATGAACATGGTGGGGGATTGTTCTTCAATAATCTTCAGATGCTTAGGGGCAGGTGTGGATCAACAAGACAGTGGGGTTTAATGACGACAGTAAGTTTTTCTCACATGGATGCAATCAATGAAAGGAAAGCTAGGGAGCTTGCACCAGGATGATTGAGTCTGTGGTAGTGCAAGAAAGAAAAGACTAAAGGGTAAAGCCATGGCTGGTGTAGCTCAGTGGATTGAGCATAGGCCTGTGAACCAAAGGGTCACCAGTTTGATTCCCAGTTAGGGCACATGCCTGGGTTGCAGGCCAGGTCCCCAGTAGGGGATGCATGAAAAGCAAACAGACATTGATGTTTCTCTCCCTCTCTTTCTGCCTCCCTTCTCTTCTCTCTAAAAATGAATAAAGTCTTTAAGAAAAAAAAACCCCTAAGGGTTAAAAGAGTTCAAGAAAGCAGTTCATTTCTTTTCCTGTAATAAAGTTTTGATAAAGTTTAAGAACATCTGGAATAAAAACTAGATAGGTGAATGGAAGGGGAGGAAGTATTAGTCAGAGTGTGAAATGCTTGACATGGAGGATTTGGAGGTGGGCTTGTTACTGATGATGGAAGTTCTAGGACAGCACATGTGAATAAGTGGCTGAGATGGGATGCAGGGAAGAGCACTGGAGCTACAGAGGCTGAGGACAAAAAGACAAGGTGTTGCACAGGTGCCAGGAGAGAAGAAAGGTATGACCAAGGACAGGACAGTCCTCGCACCAAGGTCACTGGTAAATGATGTGTGGAACTGGATGCTAGCAGATGATAGTAACAAAAAGAGGTAATGAGAGTGGAAGTCCAATTACTTATGCTTCAAACCCCGCTCCCCCAAAACCCCTGGACTTTGTAAAGGATGAAAGGAGAAATGGTTTAAATATGCTACTGGGATGAGGTGGGGGTAAGGGGAGTACCTACTTCTCTCTAGGCCCTGGAGTCCATAGAATATGGAAGAAAAAGCAGCCTTCCTCAACTAAGGGGCCAGTTGGGGTTCAGGAAGACTTTATCAATGCAGGAACAGTTCAGAGGAGTTGAAAGTGGAGTAGAGTTTTCTGTTGAAGACCATGGGTATCAGGAGACAGGGAGGAAGAACTTGGGCAGGCAGCGAGGGGTGGTGAAGGGGACACAGAATGAAGAATGTAAAGAGCAGGATAGGGCAGCACTGGCATGAGTGTAAAGTATCTGGGAGGCTTGGTGACTATGTCAGCAATTCATTTGATAGCAACGACACCTGTGAAGATGTTTAACTTTGGAAATACATGTGCACTTAAACAAAAAGCTCTAATCTCATTATTATAAAATTGGCCCTTGGACTAGTATGGGGTGGGGCTGCAGGTTTGGAGCTGTCTGGTGCTCCATTTGTTCTCTCACATTTTCCCATGGTGTCACTGTGGTCCAGCCCAGGGACAGTAAGTGACAGACAAGGAAATAAATCCTGGCTTGCTTGCATTCAGCTCCATGGTGCCCCCTAGGGCCAGTGGCAGGAGTATCAGCTGCTGCTCTCGCAGCTGCCACCTTGACCTCCACAGAAGCAGCAGTAGCTGGTTTCCTGGTTTTGTCTAAATGTCCTCAAATGCCCGAGTGAGGCCCCAGACAGTGGGGAGAGGAGGCAGTTGAGAAAAGAAAACAAGAAAAGCGTACTTACACGTGCCGCATGGCATCCTCAAAGAGAACCAGGTCCATCACTGTGTTGACTTCATTGTGACTCTCTAAGGCATCCACCAGAGTCTGGGCTAACAGCTCCCATGATGGCACAGGCATGTACTTAGGCTCGCCGATGCCATTTGCAAAGTGGCAATACATGTTCAGGCTTTGAGTCTGCTCCATGATCTCTTCGATATCCTGTTGAGGAGATATAGGGACAAGCACCCTCCTTATCAAATCTCAGTTCTGGTTCCACACAGAGTAGAGACATCTGAGTTCCCATTTCTCTCTACACACTCTCCCAAAATGAAATCAGTGCTGATCCTAACACTGTTCCTTCTAAGAAGCCCACTGAGACTGGTGTTTAACACTTGTTTACTGTGTCCACAAAGTCATGGATGGTGTCTGTTACTCTTTTTGGGCTGAGGATGGGTAGTGAAAGGTGGGAGGTACCCTTCTCACAAGTATCATCAGAAATGGGTTCCATCTCTGAGCGAAGTAGTTGGGGACATGGTGGGTATTTCTCTAAGCAGGGTCTCTTTCACCAGTGTTGAGGGAAGGAGATCATGATGCACCCAGTGGCCTCATCCCTCCAACATCTGTTCCGAAGTGCCTTGCTCTGCAATCCACAGCAATGTCATAGAACATCCTTGCTGTTTCCTGTGATAATGCACACTAGAGGGAGCAAGCCCCAGCTCCATGAGCTCAGCACAGAGGGATTAGATTCTGAAGAATATGCCACAGGCCATCCTTAGGTGACTGGTTTGTTTATAAGGACATTGATAATCCTAAAGCATTTGCAGTAGAACCCCCTATTTATGAAACTTCCACAAAGATTTGGGCTTCTTGTGTGTCAAATCTTGTCCCCAGGACAAACCTTACCATGTTTAATAAATGCCTAGCACGACTCAGCTTCAAAGATATGGAGTCTGTGTCTCTTTACCGCGAACCCAGTCTCTAAGTATTGAAGACATGGCTAATACTTTTTTGATTCAGAAAGGAATTGCTTACTTATCAAAACACAAATACTTGAGATTTCAAGAGTAAAAAGAGTTGTAGAGGAAGTAAGTCCAAGAAAGAATAGGTTTTCTAATACATAAGTAAAATTTATACCAGCACAAGCAATAGTCCCCAACTGCCATTCTTTTCTCCTAAATTTCAGACTGGGAGGTCCACCTGCAAAACAGGTAACCAGCATGCTGGTCACCAGCAGGGGTATTGCCCGGGACACAGGGGCACTGTAGGGTGGGTCTTCAATGTGGTACCTCACATATAAGCCCATGAGGCAAGATTCATCAAACCTAATGAAGGGGAAGTGAGGATGCCAGTGATATCTACAGAGAAGCCAAGAATGTTGCCTGGTTTTAAGAAGAAAGGAGTAGAAAGAGTTAAATAGCAAAGAGTTATTGTATATTTTAAAAATATATTTTAATGATTATGCTATTATAGTTGTTCCATTTTCCCCCTATCTCCCCTTCACCCTGCATACCCCCTCCTACCCACATTCCCCCATTTAGTTCATGTTCATATATCATAAGCTCTTTAGCTTCTACATTTCCCATACTATTCTTGCCCTCCGCCTGTCTATTTTCTACCTACTGTCTATGCTACTTATTCTCTGTACCTTTCCCCCTCTCTCCCCCTCCCACTCCCCTGTTGCTAACCCTCTATGTGATCTCCATTTTTGTGGTTCTGTTCCTGTTCTAGCTATTTGCTTAGTTTGCTTTTGTTTTAGGTGTGGTTGTTAAGAACTGTGAGTTTGCTGTCATTTTACTATACATGTTTTTTATCTTCTTTTTCTTAGATAAGTCCCCTTAACATTTCATATAATAAGAGCCTGGTGATGATGAACTCCTTTAACTTGACCTTATCTGAGAAGCACTTTATCTGCCTTTCCATTCTAAATGAAAGCTTTGCTGGATAGAGCAATCTTGGATGTAGGTCCTCGCCTTTCATGACTTGGAATGCTTCTTTCCAGCCCCTTCTTGCCTGCAAGGTCTCTTTTAAGAAATCAGCTGACAGTCTGATGGGAACTCCTTTGTAGGTGACTGTCCCCTTATCTCTTACTGCTTCTAGGATTCTCTCCTTCATTTTAATCTTGGCTAATGTAATTATGATGTGCCTTGGTGTGTTCCTCCTTGGGTCCAACTTCTTTGGGACTCTCTGAGCTTCCTGGGCTTCCTGGAAGTCTATTTCCTTTGCCAGATTGGGGAAGTTCTCCTTTATTATTTGTTCAAATAAGTTTTCCACATGTTACTCTTCCTCTTCTCCTTCTGGTACCCCTATAATTCAGATGCTGGAACGTTTAAAGGTGTCCTGGAGGTTCCTAAACCTCTCCCCATTTTTTGAATTCTTATTTCTCCATTCTTTTCTGTTTGGGTTGTTTCTTTCTTCCTTCTGTTCCACTCCATTGATTTGAGTCCCAGATTCCTTCCCATCACTATTGGTTCCCTGTGCATTTTCCTTCATTTCACTTAGTGTAGCCTTCATTTTTTCATCTAATTTGTGACTGAAATCAACCAATTCTGTGAGTATCCTGATCTCCAGTGCTTTGAACTGTGCATCTGATAGGTTGGCTATCTCTTGGTTGATTAGATGTATTGGCTCTGGAGCTTTGATCTGTTCTTCTGTTTGAAACTTTTTGTTGTTGTTGTTCTGGTCCCGCCTGTTACGCAGTGAGGGGCAGAGCCTTAGGTGTTCACGGGGGGTGGGGGGGGGTCAGCCCAGTCACTGGGTTGTGATGCTGTCTGTGGGGCTGGGTCAGAGGAAACAATGGCACTTGCTCTGCTCTCATATTTCAGTCCTTTCTGCCACTTCCCACAAGCAAATTGTGCCCTTCTGGTGCTGGCTCCTGGGTGGGTGGGCTTGTGTACGATCTAGGACCCTGTAGGTCTCTCCAACGAACTCTCCTGTGAGTCTGGGAATCTCTCCTGGCACCTCAACTCCCACAAGTGTTTTCAATCAGTGCTTTTAGGCTTTATTTCCTGGCACTGGAGCCCTGGGTTGCGTGGTCTGTCTCACTTCCCGTTTTGCCTGGTTTATCTGCACGCAAATGTGTGTCTGTGGTCAGCCAGCAGCCTTGCACCCCTCACTGGGTCTGCCTATTGCCACCCCATGCCCGGGGTCTGCCAGCCACTGCCTGTGTGTATGGGACCACCAACCACTACTTTTTCCTGCTGCAACCCCTCTCCACCAGCCACCGACTCTGCCCCTCTTACCAGTCTGAATGAATGGTTGTCGGACTTCCCTACAGTTCAATTTTCTGTTAGATATGGTTGTACTTTTGTTTCTAAATTTTTGTTGTCCTTAATTTTGGTTGTGCAAGGAGGCACAGTGTGTCTACCTACGCCTCCATGTTGGCCGGAAGTCTAGTCTCTGTCAAGTTATTATATTTTAAAGGTAGTTTCAGGGCCATAGAAACCCCTTAAACTATTCTTGTTTTGCTAGACTATAACAATAAATGTCCAGATATTTGGATAAGATTTAATGCAAGGCAGGAAAGTCATTCTTGCTACTTGAGGAGAACATGCGGGAAAGTGATGTGGGAGTCCATTTGCCCAGTTTGAAAATGAGCTAATATACTGGGAATGAGTCCTGATGGCAGTCAATTTACATGAACAGTCTAGCAGAGGAACAGCCAAAGTGCAGGCTGAAAAGCCTGGAATACAAAGACACTTTGATGAACAGACCACGTCTCTGATTTTTTGATCAGAGCCAAGCTGTACAGGAGGGCGAGAGAAAACCAACCCACTCAGTGAATCAAAAAATTCTTAATAGTGACTCTTTTCCCTTAGATTGTCAAATAAAAATCTGGACAGCACACAACCATAGCTGTCCAGTGTGAGTACATCAAAATTATACCTAATGGTCAGATTTGCAAAAAATATAATATACTTTTGGTGTGCCACAGAATTTTAGTGATTAGTTTATGTGTGCTTGTCACATAACTGGTTGAAAGGTTGAAAGGAATGCCTTTGGAATTTTAATTTTGTCTCAACACTGCTCATACACAGTACAGGTTTCCCTCAACATGCACATATATTTTGCCAAAAAGATGGTTGTGAGAGAAGATTCACACAATCAGGATGGTTGTAAAAGGATGAAAAGTGCATATATTATGCTCCAGCACGAGCTCTGTTTAGAGCTGCCTCAGCCACAGACAAGGAGCAGCCCCAGGGCGTGCCTTCCTAGGCTTGTGGGCTCCAGCAGTGGATGGGGTGGTGACATCTTACCCATGGTACAGTAATGAGATAGAGTGAGTCGTTCTGCCCCTGATCCTTAGAAGGAGAAAAGGACCAAGAATTTTGCTTTTACAGTAATGAAAATCAAGAATGAAATGATTATATTTTTGGTAAAGCCAAATAATAGAGTTCAACTTCCAAGAATTCCATTGTTAGGTAAGAGAGCAAGATTTCTTCACTGAGTTTATGCTGTGACAGTGTTTATTTATAATTATGACCCTGTATTTGCAGTAAGACTGAAATTAATGCTTATTTCTACAGAGATTCTAACGGTGAAAAAAGGGTAAAATTCATTTGAAAAGGAAGGTATAAATGCTGTTTGTGCAGAAATAAAAATGTGCACTAATACAAAAAAAATAAAACCTCAACAAATGCTGTTGGGAGAGGATAACAGCAGTGTTAATTATGTCTGGGTCTATGATCAAAAATACATGTCCTGAGGGTCCAGACACACACAGAAACCTCTGTCTCAGGCACAGAGTGTTGTCACGCTGAGGTGCTGGCTTAGACCAATCTAATGAGACAGTAAAGGCTCATTGGCAGAGCTAACCATGAAAAAATGCATTGGCACATTCTACAGTGCTCAGATAGGAGTATCTAACATGTGAGAGTGCTGAACATCTGACCATGTAAAAATGATGGGATAAGTGGAGGAATTCAGAGTGCTTGAACTAGGAAAGGGAAGACTAAGTTACTTAAAATGCTGTGCAGCCCTGCCTGGTGTTGCTCAGTGGATTGAGCACCAGTCTGTGAACCAAAAGGTTGTGGGTTTGACTCCCAGTCAGGGCACATGCCTGGGTTGCGGGCTTCATCAGGTCTGTGAGAGGCAACCACACATTGATGTGTCTGTCCTTCTCTTTCCCCCTCCCTTCCCTTCTGTCTAAAATAAAAAAATAGATATATAAATTAATTAATTAAAAAATATTTCTAAAAAGTGCTGTGCAAAGATTCATAAAGCTGTCCTATAAGTCTGCATGGACAGTAACCATTTTCAGAGCTAGACCCAGGATCTAATCAGGAAAACATGTGGAGAGCTAAACCTAACGAGGTGAACACAGGGACAACACGATACATTTAAATACAAGATTTGATTATTTCTAAGTTCAAGAGAGGACAGACAAGAAGTATGTGTGAAAAATATGGGGCTTTGTTCAACAAAAGGCTCAGTGTTAGTTTTGGGGTGATTTTTACACTAAGAAATGTTATGTGATCATAGGATGTGATAACATATCACTGTTTCCAAGGTATATTCTATGAACTAATCATTCTGAAAATTATTAATAGCTTTGATGGAGGGAAAGAGCTGTAGGGTCCAACATGTTTGGGAAATGGTATATGAATCAGGGTCATTCAAGATGCTCAGGGCTTCAATGTGGAATGCACTGAATTTCTAAGAAAGGAATATGATACAAAGTTGTTTCTCAACTTGAGAAATCTCAGATACCCTTTTTCAAAGGAGTATATTGTGGTATAACTAGCAGGACACATTTTGGAAACTAGAGTAACAAAATTATGGTGTATCAGCAAAGGGAAATGATGATCTTGCTTTTGGTCAGACACCAGTTGGGGCTGGGGTGAAAGTCAGGCACCATGATTTCAGAGGAGAAAGCAAAGGGAGAATAACCAAGATGGTGTCAAATAACTCTGAGTTTGAAAACAAGCCCTGTCAGGAATGGCTACAAGAACTGAGACTATTTGGCTTGGAGAAGAGAAGCCCCATGAAGGGCGAGATAAATGGCCTTAAAATATTTGAAGGTTTGTCTTATAGACCTAGGATTAGGAGACAGGGAAATGCATTTTAGATCATTATTAGAATCAACCTTCAGTCTTTAAAATTGTTCCAAAGTCCCCAAATTTCAAAGTTGTTCTAAATTTTCAGTCATTCGAAGTTTGAAAGTGGCTCCATGGGGAAGATGAGATTGGGCCTTTCCAAGGATGCTGGCGCCTCAACTGTGATGACTCACCCGGGAAAGGCCACTGAGGGGAGTCAGCGCAAACTTGGATCAGCTGATGTCTACGGTCCTCTCAACACTGATATTCTGTGACTGATTTGCCTCTTCTTGCCCCAGCATTTTTCACCTTGGCAAAATAATGAGAGTTTCCTTTCCTTATGTAATCTCTGATTTTCCCCAATTTATGGGCTAGATATTGATCATTTTGGTTATCATCTGCATAATTATCACTATTTTTCAAATGTAAAAAAATTTCTCAGGGCAATACTCACATCAAAAATTTTCTTGACCACATCTATCTGGATTTTATCAAAAAGATCAAGGTCCTTTTCTTCCACCAGCTTATCCCGATAAATACGATTTGCTTCATGCAGATAGAGCTTTGCTAGGTCCTGTGTGGACTTTATACATTCCACGGAGGAGAAGAGAATGCCCTTCAAGGAGAACAGACAAAAAAGTAACATGAGTAACAACTTAAAACTACGACAGCTACAATGTATTGAAGCCAGTTATGTGACAGGTACTGGACTAGATGTTTTGCCAGACAAAGCTCATTTAACCATCATGACCATCCCACAAAATCATTTTTATTATATCCACTTTGTATAATTTGGAAATCAGGATTCAGAAAGATAGGAAGCATGACCAATCACATAGTGCATGGTCTTAATTCAGAACCAACAGGTATTCAAATCAGTTTGCCTGACCTTACTTAGATCCTGGAATTTTAACCATTACTTTCCAAATCACCACACTGAGGAAGGATGTGGCTTCTCTGCTGTATTCCAATTCCTGAAGTGCCATTTTGAAAATTAGTCTGAGCCACAAGTGCTTATATGAAATCCTAACGAGGACAAAGGGCTAGAATGCATGTCGCAAACCTTTGTGGGTCATTAGTACTTTTGTTCATCTCTAGGAGATTCTCCTTCCTGTGTAACACAGGGATTATTCACATATTTACTGTTTTTTTCAAATTTCTGTCACATCTCTGTTCCTATTAGCCAATGTCTTAGCTTTCTTTTTCATTGAAAAATAAAGACCATCAAGATTGGAGCCCCTCAACAACTTCAATAAGTCCTATAAGTTAAAACTTATTCATTCCCATGTTTGTCTTCATTGCTGTCTTTCTTGTCTTAGAGAAAAAGCAGTCATTTCATTGTTTGTCACTCCCAGCAGAATAATGCTCAGATTCAACACATGGCATAAAGGTCTGGTTATAGTATGATTACCAGTCCACTTTCTCAAGATCACTCTGATCACCACATTCTATAAAATCTAGATTTCAGTTTCAAAAGCTCAAATTACTTTCTGTGCTTCATGTCTTTTTCTTTGTTTGCTCTGCTCATATTTCAAGCTCTAGATCAATTGGCATCCTTGGTTGGAGTCCTCCTTGACAACTTCTTCCCTGCCCAACATCACTTCCTTGACGTGGCCCACATAACCTTTTATGTATAAATATCTATTTATAAGAGAATTATTAGGTTCTAAAATTATTTTTTGAAATAATTTAGGTTCTAGAATTATTAGGTTCTAAAATTATTTTTCTTTGTTCAGGTTTGCCTCTTCCGGGTCATGGCGAGTGTCTCAAAGGCAGAGAAATGGAGAGATTTCATTTTGGATATGGTTTGTTTTAATAATTTTATTCCAAGTACCTAGCATAGTGCCTGGCATATACTAGATTCTCAGTGGATGCTTGTCAAAGGAATGAATGAACTGACATTGGATCCATCAATTATTAGAACATTGAAAGAACCTCCATCAATGTTTCTGCTTTTGGTCATGGCAGAATAGCTGATCACAGACCAACCCACTGAGATCAACTACAAAAAATAGAAAAATTATTTTTAAGTTTATCTTTTTAGAGGCATTAGAAAGTAATCAAGTGAGCAAGTACTTAAGGGGCTTGGATACTAGAGAAAAGAGGAAGAAGCAAGATCAATCCTGACTTTGGTGTCATTTATCTTCATCAGGCATCTGCCATTTCACAAGCAATGGCTTATAGGTTGAGAAACTGCAGAGACAGAGACAAGTGAGAGGTTAGGATGCTGAAAAGGTTTCTCATCTCATGGGGATAGGAAGGATGGAAACTGGAGGTCAGGGATGACCAAGAAAGAGGTCATATCTAAAAGCCCCTATGTTGAGGTCCACCCTGCCTGGTCTCAGGAAACTGTAACCCCCCTCGACTAAGGCTGAGTAAGAGACCTCCAAACCAGGAGCCACTAAGAAGACAAAACTTATTTCCCTGGCATGAATGCTGCCTGTTCTGTGCCGCCCCCCCAATGCTTGATCAGTTAGCCAATGATGGGTAAGATTTCCCACGGGGGAATTGCCTAACAGGCATGACCACATGGAGGCCTCAGGGAAGGACTTGGGGGGCTGTGGAAATGAAGGGTGATTGATATAGACCCCTGCCCCCTCGGCTTTGTCGAAGCCTGAGTCCTTGTTTTTAGTTGTGAGAAATCCAAGTCTCCCAGCTGCCTTTGTCTCCTCTGCCTGACTCAGGCCTGTGGAAATGACAGGGGTGGTGCAGTCCAGACCAGAGTCAGTGGACCCCTGGGGTAATCGGGCCTGATACATAGAATAAGAAAGGCCCTGTAAGACCTGCTTGCTGGAGGATGCTCTTTAATTAGAATATGAAGGCATGGGTAGGAAATGAAACTAAGCTTTTAGGTCCTGTAGTCTTTTTAAATGATAAAACCCCCAAATCTAAGCTCAGAATCCCAGCAGGAGATCTGCCACTCCCTTTGAAAGGCTAAACTACTTGTTTTATCTTCCCTGTCAGACTGTAATTGACAAAGTGTATTGGTATGTTTAATAAAAGCCTGCTTGGGTGGGTGAACAGGGCCCCCTCCACTTGAGAGAATGGTCGTTTCGTCCCTATTTCCCCACAGGACTCAGTTGTCCCTGTGTATGTTGTTCATGTGTTTCGACAAGCATCCTCAGCAGGGATGGATACTGCTGGCCAGTATCCTCCACACCCCTAGGATTCCGTCAAATGGTTATATGCCAGGAGTGTGTGTGAACAAGTAATTCAGGCCTCACAGGAACTCAAGCCCAACTTCAACCTCCTCAATCCCTGGTAACTGCTTGCCAGAAGCATAAGTATGTAATTTCTGAAGGAAAATAACATCATCTAAACCCTCAAATTATCTGCACACTTTAGAACTCATAAGTCTGGCAATCAAACAAATTACTGGGAATATCAGGAGGTATGACCAAAACCAAGAAAAAACTGACCTACAGAAGATCTAGGTATTGTAACTACCAGGTGCAAACCTTATCAAAACTATAACTATATGACCAAAAAGTTAGATTACCAGGTAAAGAATCTCAGCATAGTACTGAAACCTTTAAAAATAAATCAAACAGAAATTGTCAAATCAAAAATCATCCCCATATTACAGTTACTGAAATTGAGAAATTATCAAATGGGGTTAACAAAGAATAGATGCAGCTGAAAAAAGAACTGGTGAACAGAGGGATCAGCACAAAATATTCAGACTCAATAACAAACAGGAAAAAAAAAGAAATAAAAATTACCAAAGAAAAAAAGCATAGCATATGAAGCACATGAGACACAGTGAAAAGGTCTGTACATGTGCTGGAATACCAAAAGTAGAAGAAAGAGAGAAGTGGAAACAATGTTTAAAGAAATGGGCGAGGACAGTGGGGAGGGTTGGGGTGGTTGGGAGGGGTGGGGGGAAAGGTGGAAAACTGTATTTGAACAACAATAAAAATTTTTTTAAATTAAATTTCCATGAAGTAAAGAATTAAAAAGATAGAAGCTCTAACAACTTCAAAACTGAAAAAAGGACATTAAACCAGATTCAAAAATGCTACAAACACTAAGCAGGATAAATATAAAAAATACCTCCTAGATACCTTAGGCATAATAGTGAAATTTTTGAAAATCAAAGACAGAGAAACATTTTTAGAAGTGGACAAGTGAAGAAAGAAACTCTTTTTTTCCACATAGACTCATAGACTCTCAAAGGAACAGTAAGACTTAGAGATAATTTCTCAATAGAAACAATGGAAACCAGAAGACAATGGAATAACACTTCAAAGTGCTGGAGGAAAAAAATTTCTGCTAACTGAGAATTGGTTGGAAGGAAATCCCCTTCCAAAATTCTTTAAAAATAAGAAATAAATGTATTTTAAATCTAATAAAATCAAAATGCAGCAAGAATAAAATCAATGGAAAGGTTACTGTGTGAAGAAATCTAAATAAATATTGACTTACTAAGGCACAAATATTGGTGTATTTGGGTTTTCAATGCACATTGAATTAAAATAAATAACTAGCATAAAAATTGAAGGGAGGAAAATTGTTGTAAGATCCTTGCATTATGGTAATTGATAAAAGTACTTATTTATAAAGGAAAAAGAATAAAATGATGCACTTGGTAATCATTAGATGAATATTAAAAGGATGAATGGTACACTAAAAGAAAAAACAAAGAATAAAAATATAATTAGTTCAGTAAAATTCAAGAAATTAAAGAAAAGGAAACATAGACTAGATATGATATACTGAAAACAAATAGCATAAAGCTGATTTAATCTTAAATATTTATTATATAAAATAACATCAAATACAAATAAACTAAACATTTTAATTAAAAGGCAATGATTATCAGGCTAGATTTAAAAAATCTAACTGTATGCTGCCCATATGAAATATATCTTGAATATAAAAGTACAAAAGAACTGGATAAGAAGCTGGAAAACAATATAGCATAAACATACTAAAAGAATATGCAATAACCATGCTAATATCATACAAAGTTGACTTTAAAGCAAGAGCCATGGTTAGATATAAAGTACATTCAATAATAAGAAAAGGGCCAGTCAACTAGGAAGGCTGACAAATAATGACCTCAGGAGCCCTGTCAAGAAGTTATAAATAAGAAGAAAAAACTAACCCAAAACCAAAAGTGAGTAGGAAGAAAGAGATGATAAGAGTAAATTTTAATAATAAAAAACAGATATCAAATAGAGACAGTCAATAAAGTAAAAAACATAATATTGATAACTTTGGTTTCTTTGAAAACACTAGCAAGATTGATAACCCTCTAGTAAGACTGATAGAAAATAGAAAGAGAAAACAGAAAAGGCATACATGATCAATATTCAGAATAAGAGGAAATGATGTCTGTTACAGCAGATATTTGAAAGATAATAACAGGATAATAAAGTTTTATGTCAACTAGAAATTGTTGACATCAACATCTTGCCAGAACTGATACATTGAGAAATAGAGAATCTGAAATGTCTAATATGTGCTAAATAAATTAAATTTATAATTTAAAATCTTCTACAAAGAAAACTCCTGATGATTTCATCAGTAAATTCTTCTGACATTTAAGGAAGGCACAACACATTTTACAGAATCTTCCAGAGAGGAAAAAAAGAGGGAACAATTCTCAGTGTATCTTACAAGGGCTTCATAACCTTAGAATAATAGAAAAAAGAAAAATTATAGGACATTCAATATAGATGTAAAAATTATATAGAAAAAAATAGTAAGTGGAATGTAGCAAAATATTAAAAGCTTAACATGTAATGACTAAGTTGGTTTGATTACAGAAGTGCAAGATTAATCTTACATTCAAAAATAATCAATGTGATTTATCACATTTCCAGTAAAAAGGAGAAAAACATGATATAATTATTTCAATAGATACAGAGAAATAATTTAAGTTTCAACATAGATTCATGATTAAAACTCTTTGTGAAAGTATGAAAAAGAAGAAATTAATCTTAATCTGATAAAGAGCATCTGCATAAACCTGTAGTAAGCATCATACTTCATGGCCAACTATTAAAAGCTTTCCCCCTGTAATTAAGAGTGCAACAAGACCACACTCACCACTTCTTTTCACCATTGTACTAGCAGTTGTAGCCAGAACAATAGGACAGGAAAAACAAATAGAAGATTTGAAGACTGGAAGGAAAGAAATTGTTTTTATTTTTACCAACAGCCTGATTCTGTGTATTGGTACCATCATAATATCAAACAGAGGAGGAAAGAATGCCTGAAGACAGACCAAGGGGAGCTTCAGGGACAAGGGGATATTCTTGAGCTGTGATTCTAAGTTGTGGTTATACAGGTGTGATGACTTCGTGACAATTAACCAAGCTCTATACTTAGGACTTAAGTGCTTTTCTACTTGTATGCTACACTTAGTAAAAGTTTCTTTAAAAAAAAAAAAGACATTCCATTAGGTCCACAGCCATGCATTAGCTGTGGAGGGCATGAAGAAGCACCCACCAGGAATTCCACTCCCAGGGCTGTGTTTGGCAGTGAGGAATGCTGTTGAGGACTGTGAGCCTATTATAGCTGAACACTCAGGCTGACTGACAGTGAAGGACAGCGTCAGCATGAGTATGGCGAGTGCAAACTTAGCACCATCTACATAGTGATGTGTCACACTGAGATGGGAATGGATAGTAATTTCTGATACTCAGAGAACTATCAAATTCTGTCCTGAATGGGACAGAGGGAGGAAGTGCAGATCCAGTCTCAATGGTAGGGCCTTCGATCCAGCTGGATGGAGGAAAACATTGGACTCCCTATGCAGGGTTGTTGCCCATTAGGCCTCTAGACAGGCAGGCAGGCAGGAAGGATGTAGGGGAAGCATGTGGTTAGGCTTTGAGCTAGCAGCTCCCCTCTGGAGCAGAGTCTGGGCCTGTGTGCTTGGGGGGAGGCAGGTGTTTCAAGGGGGCTGCACTCTTCTACCCTTGCGGCAAGTGGCTGACAGCTGGCAGGCTGTAGACAGGCCTGGTTGGGACACAGAGCCCAGAAGTGGCCACTGAAGCCACCTGAGTCTGGCAAAGAAACAGACCAGGGGAACAAGAGATTCACTCCCACTCCATTATCACCCCTGAAACAAGGCTGGAATAGCACTTTCCTCAGGAAGCCTCCCTTGCCCCAACTACATGCACAGTGGAGCTGAATTTTCTAGCTTCCGGTAGCTAGCATCATTGCTGCTGCTTGCCAGCTCTGTGATCATGCTCACAGTACTTGATCTGTCAATGGCCCAGCTTTGTCATTTCTAAACTGAAATGGTCAGTATTTTACCTCATATGGTTGTTGTGAGTATTAAATCATCAGGCTTAGAACTGTGCTCAGTAAACACCAGCTACTGTCGCAGACTAAAATCAGGCTTTTTGTGAGGGCTCACTCCGGGCTCAGACAATCTTTCTACTCTTACCAGCCCCTCCCTATCACTTGCTGTCCCCACCAGACCAGACTGCTTGTTACCTGGCTGACGTTGTTTTATACTTTTCTACCTCTGTGAACGTCTATGCTGGCAACTTCTCTGGTAACTCCATGCTGGCAACTTCTCTGAGTCTCTGCTGAACTGGGATAAGAATGTGTATCCCAAAGGGTTGCCATGAGTATAAAGTTTAAGTTGTACAGGTGACAAGGTGCCCGTCCAGATAGGAGCTAGTGCTGGGTACTTCTGGAAGAGACTTCATACCTCTTTTCCCTTGAGTTCTGCTACTATGAGCAATATTTCATCAAATGACTTTAACTCTTTTATTAACTTGGAAAATACAGATGGTAACACCCCCACCTCATCATGCTACAGTGAGATTTAAGAGAGGGATCATGTGATAAAAAATTCCTTTGAAATTAATACTCAATAAAAGGGAGATAAGCATGGGTACACTCTTGCCATCACCCAGACCTGATGGCTCTGGACCTGAAGACAGACTTGGAGCTGAGTCCCTCTTGCGGCCTTAACTCTCCTAGGCTTGTTTGCCTCGTTGGAAGTACAGATGAGAAGCACAGAATGATGTGGTGATGGAAAGGGGCCCAGGCCAGGAACCCAAAGACCAAGATTCTAGTTCCATTTTCTTCACTGGCTGGCTGTGTGCTCTTAGGCAAATCCATATAATCTTAGCAGGTCTCTGTTCCCTCATTTTTAAGGAGGTAATGCTTGGGAGGTCTGTGGTCCTTCCAGGAGTGCTCTCCTGTGCCAGTTTACAGATGTTCTCAGAGAGTGGACCTTGCTGTGGGGTTCAGTGATGCCACCTTCAGGTTAAGCCTCTGGGGGCATAGCTCTTGGATATTTGAACAGATGTTTAGCGGGTTTCTGCTCCTTATAACCAAGAGTCCTGGGTGGAACATGCAGGCCTGGGTGTCAGGGGTGTCAAACTCATTTTCACTGGGGCCACATCAACCTGGTGGTTGCCTTCAAAGGGCCGAATGTAATTTTAGGACTGTATAAATGTAGCAACTCCTTAACTGTTAAGCGAGAGCTCTGTGCTGTCACTGGGTAGAAACAAGGTGCTGGGCCAGATAAAACAAGGTGGAGGGCTGGATTCAGCCCATGGGCCTTGTGTTTGCCACCTGAGCCCTATGTCCTCAGGGTGTGGCCCTTGGCTAGTCTTGGGTTCCCCAGAGTCTGACCTGCACAGGCGGTGTGCTGAGTAATTCATTCCAAACACATGTGCTGCCCATGAAGGGTCCTGCCTGATCTGGCTGACACTCCCTTACGGGTGTGGCCTCTGCTTAGTATGAAAAGCATTTTCTCCTAATAACGGCCCAGGACTATCTCAGGGTGGATCTCTCTGAACAGTAGTCTGTGCAGATTCTTGTCCAGGATTGGAGAGTTGTGGAGGTCACCACGTGAGGATGCTGCACCGGACTGAGGGCAAGAGAGGGCCAGGTTTGCTGCACTGCACTGAGTGAAAGGTCAAGCAACTGAAAGCCATGGGCAGAGATAGCCCATCAGAATTCAGATGAACAGCTGAAAGGGTCTGAAATGGCTTTGGCCTGGAGAAGAACCTGGAATTTTTGGAACTGAGGATTGCAGAGGCTGGAAGGTGGTGGCTCAGAAATATTATGACATGGCTTCTTCAGGAGGCAGAGCCATCCTGCATGGTTGGGACATTCGTTTTCATCCGAGAACAATGGATATACCACCAGGGCCTGCAAAACAGTTTTCTCTTTCATTCTTCTCTGCCATTTTCCCCTAGGCATGCTAAAGTGATTATGTAACATTATCTCCAAGATGCTGAGACTTCTCTAGTCCAAAGGAACCAACTCAGAAATGCATTCTGCTTATTGGGAAGTAATTGAGCTGACAGACAGACAAAACTCTGTTTTTTGAGGTCCTCACTCCCAGAGCCCATGGGACTCGAGTTATTAGCTTATGTTTTTGACTCCATAGGAACTGGGCCTCTGCCAAGAGTTTGGCATTAACTATCATTTTACCAAGAATGAGAGGAACTGGATCATCACTGAGCCTTCTGCAGTGTCTTGGAGCAGATGGACTCACCTGGAAAATATTGGCGAAGTCTCTGAGATTGAAGATATAGTGGAATTTGATTGCTGTGGGTAGGAATGTGGTGGCAATTTTCTGATGGAAAGTGAGGGCCAGAGTGATCAGCTGGGGGATGGATTTCTGCAGAGATGCTGGGAAGTTCCCGAGCCTCAGGTGCTGAGTCAAGATGGTGCTATAGATGGAGGACAGGGCATCTGCTCCAGGAAAGGAGAGGCCGAAAACACTGAAGTGACGCTGTGAGGAAACAGAGGAATGTGAGGGGGCCTGAGTTAGACACCTGTTATCACAGATTGAAAATCATCTTTTCTGAATTTAGATATAACAGTAACAAATCCACCTAAGGGCTTTTGGTTCTATATTCTGGCCATGTTTTTTCACACTAAACCTCAATTTAGGTTGAACCTAAAATGACTGGGGGAAGAATTGGCTTTGAATCTTGGGTCAAAGATGTCAGTATGGGGTACTAAGAAGTGAATTGAACTTGGACTTAGGGAACCAGATTCCAAATCTAAATTTGACACCAAATATCCACATGACCTTCAGAAAGCCATTTCATCTCTATGACCCCTTTCATCTCTACACAGCTTTGTGACCCTAGGTCAAGGAGTTTCTCTTCCTAGAAAGTTAACATCCATTATGATTTACCAGTTTTAAAGGCTGGAATGGGGTAGGGACAATAATTACTTATAATCAAGTGACATCAGTCCTGGTGAGGTAGTATTTAGGATTCCAGGGCCATGGCTCCTCCCCTACCTGCAGACGTGGGTTGATGGTGAAGCTGCCTGAAGTGGGGTTCATACAGGAAACATACTGTACATTCATGATCTCCTTTAGAGACAGCTTGTTCCGATCATACCTGGAACAGTCAGAAACCACAGTTGAGCATTGTGCAAGGGCCCAGACAAGAATGTGCCTTGTCAAGAGGCAAAGTGCAATGTGCCCTTATCATTCACATGTTTGGGTGGTTAAAAAATATCCGGATCCATTCGCAGAGACTGAGAAGAGACATGAGCCCAGGATAAAATCTTGAAAGATCCAATATTTATGGAAATAGCATGAGAAGGAGACCACCAAGATGGACTAAGAGATAGGAGGAAAATCAGGGGTGCATGGCACCCCAGGAAAGCAAAGGAAATCAGTATTTCCAAAAAGAGAAAACAATCAACCACATCAAGTGCTGCAGAGAGAAGAAAAAAGATGATGACTCAGCTGTATTTGTTGGATTGCATAATAAAGATACAGTTAGTAGTTGAACAAGAAGAGTTTACTAAAATGGAGGACATAGAAACTAAATAATAGTGGACTGAAGATGAGCAGGAGATGAGGGAGTGAAGACAGTGAGAAATTTGATTATGCAGGGAGAGAAAGAGCAGTAAATAGAGAATGATTTTTTAAAACAATAGAAATTTACGCAAGTTTAAATATATGTATGAAGGAGACAGGGGACTAGTTGATGAAGTAAGGATTTCAGGAGGTAGAAGAAAGTAGAATCAAGATGCTGGTGGGTGGTTATGCCTCAGGGAAGATGTAACAGGTGCAGGGACAGAGAATGCTTGGGGATGTAACTAAGTTGTATAGATGTGTAAGCAAGATGGCAGATGGTGCGTGGTCATCAGTTGAGGTGGGTGGGAAGCTTGTGAATATTTCTGAGAATGAAAATGTAAACATACAGAAGCAATATGGTAGAATTTCCAGGAAATTTCTACTTCTCATTTAAGACTTGTGACCTTGAATGAATCCAAAGTAAAACTGGGAAGCCTGACTCTGATTCCTTCCAGTTTAGTTTGGCTGCTCAGATGCTGGCGTGGAGATTGTGGGTGGTTGTACATGGCAGGCATCTGACAGAAACTTTGGAATGAATGAAAGGCAACTCAGATTACCACCCCAACTCTAGTTGTCTCTGAATTCCCTCTTCATACTCCCTACTCCTTTTCATCCACTGATTCCATGTGAGGTATGAAGGTGAGCCAAATGGTCTCAAATCACTGATTTACTTTTTTTTTTTGCAAGTTCAGACCTTTTGTCATTAAAAACCATACTGTTGCAAGAGATAATATTGGACCTGTGAGTTGCTCAGACCAGGGTTGTTAAGACCCACAGACACTCAGCCCTGTGCAGCAGGTTAGGTGTGGTCATTGAGGTATCTGCTCGGTGCTATGGGACCACAAGGAGGGGAAGAGGAGTGGTTCATTCTCCTCTGGGGATTTGGAGAAGATAACTTTTGAGAAGAATATTGAATAAAAAAGTAGGCTTTTCCCCCTTAGATGTGAGCTCAGTACCTTCTTTTCACTTGGGGAGCAAAGCCACTGCCTGAAAACTCCCTCCAGAGAGCAGACTCCATGAGGAATGGAGTTTCAGGGGGAATCTCCTCTGGCACCAGAGCCAGGCTGAGGTGTGCAGCCCCCAGGGAATGGCGGCAGGCCCACAGCCCTGCCTTGGTCCTTTCTCCACCAGCCCGAGTGCCCAGCATGGGCTCTTACCAGTGCCTGTAGTCCAGGTGCTGCCTGATAATGGTGTGGGGCTGCACTGTCCCATAGGCATCCACCTCGGGCATGTTCATGTCATCGATGAAATAGATGAGCTTCTTGTTCCCTGGGGGGCCGTAATTTCTCCCAGCCTTCTTTTCTAGAGGTTTCTCCAGGACAGCTGATAAGAAAGCCAGTCAGTGAGAAAAGGACATTCAAACATCAGGTATCAGGACCAAGACAGTACAGAGGTCAAGGACAGGCTGGGGTACAGCGTGTATGTGCGTGCTAACAGCAGCAGTAGTCACTCCTGGATGCAGGTGTTCTGCAGGACCAGGTGACATTGGAATGGTCTGGCAGTGCTGCCAACAGTGCCCTATAGGCATTGAACTTCTTACTCTGTGCAGTGTGTTAGGCTTTCACAAGCATTAATTATCTCACTTTACCCTTATCATGTCATAGTAAGACTAGCACTACTATCCCATTTTAGAGATGAGGAAACTGAGGCTCAGAAGAATAAAGCAACTTTTCTAAGGTGGAGCAAGTATGCAAATCCAGGGCAAATGACGAAGCCCTTGCTCCTCCTAGAATGCTCGTGGTCAGTTTTCTTTGCTTATAGACCAGCCCAGACACAGAAGATACTTTGACTGTTCCAAGGTCTCAGAGAATTTCTGAGAAGTTTCCAGTATCGCGAACCCCGCCTTCTTCCCAGCACCTTCAGGCTGTCTGGCTTCTCCCACAGCATCTCAGGATCTTTCTGGGGACTCAGAGCAAACTCTCTTTGGGAGGTATCTCTTCAATTATCCACCCGGGGGAATAGGATCCAACAGGACCATTTCCCTACCTGACAGGACTTGTTTAGAACAAATGTAAGTAATAGGGTGGAGGTATATGTATTTTTTTTTCAATCAAGCAATTAAATATTTATGCATTGCAAGAACCAACATTTCCTATTATAGCTGGAAGCTCCAAGAACCCTCTGATTCTTTCCCTTGAAAAACAAGTTTGTAAATAAGGAGAAAGTGCCAGTAGACATAGAAGGTGACAGATAGAAAGACAAGTTCCTTCAAGAAGCTTGAATATTCTAATTTTCTGGTCCTGAGTTAAATTAAGTGTTTAAAATATGAATTAAATTTAAATTTAATTAGCATCCAATTAACATACACTATCAACCAATTAATCACCCAACACCTTCTTTCCCCCTAAAGATATAACAACTATGTAAGAGATCTGTCAAATGAAATATAATTAATGGGCTGCCAAGGATGTGTTTTTGAGAACAGTCCTTTCAAGAAGAAATTCTCCCCTTAGAAAGACTTGTTTCTCCTCCTACCAAAGCAGTGATATTCAAATCAACCCCTGAAAATAATAAGACCCTGTAATTTGGGTTGATTAAGCTCTTTGTGCTTCTAAAAGATTGTTGAGGAGAAAAGTCTGTCAGTTAGTGACAAGTGGCCTTGGAAGGCAGCAGATTATTTCAAAAGGACACACTAAGTACCCCAGAGAAAGAGAAGCCCCCTAGGGAAAGGCGCGCACACTTTGGTCCCTTCTTGCCCAACCCTCGCTCTGAGTCCCTCTGTCAGAACTGTAGCAGATTATTCTGTTTCCAGCCAGAACTGGAGGAGCAGAGTGGGTTTAAGTGGCAGCAAACGCGTTGATTTTGAGGTACCAAACACATGAGACATACAAAGAAACATAGCCTGGGGTCTGCATTGTGATAAACAAGTGCTGAGGGCCGGCCCACATCCGGCAGGAATTCCTCCGCACCACTGTCCGAATTTCTCCGTGTGAGGTGCTCAGCAGCCGCGGTTCCTGTGAAGCAGCACCAGCTGCCCTCCAGCGCTGTTTGACCAGATCATACATTTAAGGAGCCATTTCATCTTCAAAGTGAGTTCGTATTTGTTATCTCATTTCACTGTCTCCACTGTTACCATCCTTGTTCATCGGCTCTCATCTAGTAACTAAAAAATCCTCCTAATGGCCTTCCTACTCTCACCCTAGTCCCCTTCACTGTATTCTCAGAACAGCAGACTAGGTATCCTTCTAAGATATAAATCAGGGCGGCCAGTCCCCTGTTAAAACTCTGGGGTGACAGCCCATCTCACTTGAGGCAAAAAGCCGGTCTGGTTCCATCCACAGACCTTGCATCTGTTTTTCTCTGCTACTCCTCCCCTCCTCACTCCCTCCACTCTGCCTCAGGTCCTTTGCTCTGGACTTTCCTCTGCCTGGAATCCCTTTCTCCCAAATGCTCACATAGTGCTTCTTACTTATCTCAGATACTCACTCAAATGCCTCTTTCTCAGTAAGCCCTTCCTGCCACTCTAGCTAAAATCACCACCCCCTCCTAGTCCCTGTCCCTGCTTCACTTTTCTCCATAACACTTATTATCACTTAGTGTCCTATATATTTCCCTTATTTATCTTGTTTATTGTCATACACCCTGCATTCCCCCTGCACTGGGACAGCAATCTCTGTTTTTCTGATTATTGTACCCCCAGCACAGAATATTATCTAGCATAAAGTAGGATGTTTGAAAATCATTTATTACATTAAGGAATAGATGAATGAAGTTTATTATTGTAACAAACTCCATGAGTAGGCAAAGAAAGACCCATTATCCCCACTTTGTAACTAAGGTAATAGAGGCTAAGGCAGGTTAAACGTTTTGCTGGAATGAGAATTTGGGTCTGTGAATGCCGATGTTATTGCTTCTTTCATGTCCCAGGGAGAAAGACCTTGTAAGCCATCACATCCGACCCCTCTCCAGGGACGTCCCTGGCCCTTCCAGTCCCACCAAGTCCCCCAGTCTCGGAACCTAGAGCAGTTCGTTCATGCGTCCATGGAACATTACCAGGACCCTGCTTTATACCGAGAATTTGACATGCATTATATCATTGATCCCAAAGAGCTGCCCCATTATCTATTATCACCAGCTTTTAAAAAATCTTTAACAAATGAGAAAACTGAGGCTTAGAGAAATTAAGGGACTTTATCCAAGGTCATACAGCTACTGAGGATAACTCCAGGATTCCAGCCCGGGTTACCTCATGTAACCACTTCTGTAAACTACTTCTTAAACATCATTGCAGCATGGCTTCTGCCCTTGAGGAATCCCCAGCTTAGTCGACTCATTGCCTGAGCATGTTTTGACAGGGAGCATTAGTAATTATTCATGTCTTTCTTCATATCAGCATGATTTGTGTACCTGTGTTTGAACTATTCTTTCCACATTATCTAATTTTCATGTTAAGATTTAGATATATTGTGAGGGTTTTGTGTTTATTCTTTCAAAAATAATATGCTTTGCATGATTATAAAAACAAAGCATATTCATTATATACTGATAAAAAGCATAGCAAATCATAAGGATGAAAATGAAAATTACCTATAGTTCTTCACCTAGCCATAAGCATTACTTTGAACATTTTGGTGTATTTCATCCTAGTGTATTTGTTCTGTTAGATTTTCCTTTTACAAAGTCAGAATTATACTGCATATTCTACTTGCTCTTTTTAAAATTTCACATATTGTAAACATCTGTATATGATAAATACATATTTCCCTAAAACTTAATTATTTTTATTAAGTTTTAGTAGGCTAAAAAGCCAAGTAGGCTTTTAGTTTTTAATAACAAAAAGTCTTTTTAATAAAGAAATTACATATTTAACAGAAAAATTGTTGAAGCTAAAACTTAAAGGCACATTGAACGTCCTTTTTTAATACAATTGAAGGAATTAATTTCATATATCAATAAAATAAAATTCAAGAAAATTATTTTGAAGTTTTTCTTTACTGACAATTTTTGGAAAGTAAAGTTCATTATAGTTTCCCATAGTGGAACAATGTTAAAATATGAAGTTATATTCCTGTACCAGGATTCAGCATTGAAATAAATTATTGTTCTAGACATCAATGTCATAAATGCAAAAAAATACCCTAAAAGTCTAAAAAGCCTTTATTAATTTAAACTACTATTCCCAGTTCCATTAAAAAGGCATAAATACATGGCACATATTAATTACAAAAGGCATTCCATGTGCTAGTAAGTGCCCACACAGGAAGAAAATGTAATAGGGACCTAAAACTGAAGTACTTACTATATTTAACATTAAGTAATTCTGTCATCTTAGAATTTAGAGTGTTGCTAGAAACATAGAAGGCACAGATTCTTTAAAAAGTTGTCCAGATATTTAAAAACATTTTTGATACATTTTCCTAAAATAAGCCAAGGCATTCAGTCACCTCACTAATTCTAGAGGTATCCCTTCCCAACTTTTTAAAAAGATTTGACATGATATACGTCCCCTTTATTATCCCTTCACTGCTCAGTTCAAAAGCTGAAACCATAAGGGCTGCATCGGTCTTTGCCCAGTGATTGTTGGCTTCACTGTTATTAAAGCCCCTTCTCACTCCTGAGAAAACTATAGAGGGAGCTACCTGGTCAGTGGCAGGAACTTTTAAAAAAGCTTAAAAACATTTGCTTTGTGTTGAGTTGGCTAAAAGGCATGAGGATAAACCAATGTTGGTTGTTTACAGAGCAAAAAGCGCTATGTAAAGTCGATCTGAGATGCTATTCTTACAGGTGCTTTTTCTATAAAGAAATCTGATGCAGTGAGATGAAATAAGTCACACAACTGTTTCCTTTCACTTTCTTAAGGTGGTTTTCTGGACCTGGTTTCATGTGAGTACTTGGCTAATGGTATTAGGTTATCTGGAGGTTTGAGGGACATCCTGTTGATTAACAAGAAACTAATTGAAGAAAAACCTAATTAAGAGAAGCTGGTCACACAAATACCTAGCATTAGGGCTGTAGAAAAGCACCCAACTCTACATACAAACACCTCATGATGGGCATTTTACAGGAGCAATGAGATCCCACAACCTTTCTAACCAGTGTTGCACAGCTCCTAAGAATACGTGCTCCAGTCTTTATTGAATCAGGACAGTTTAGGAATTACTGTGGATTCATCCTTGATGTGGTGCCAAGGGAAGGGGTTCTTGAGGTCTCTGGATGACCCTGTTGCTGCATCACTGCCTGCGTCGGATGAAGCGCTCTGTAGACCACTGTTCCTGCTGCAGCTGCTGCTTCTGATTGTGCAAGCGGCTGTGGTCGGCCTGCTGTACTAACTCTTTGTGTGACCACTGGCTTTCTGTGCGGTGGTTGTGGCACAATTGAGAAGC